TAGCAAAATAATGATAGACAATGTATTAATGACATTTATAGCCTGCATGATATGTTTTGCCGATGCCCTGAAAGCGTATTTCATGATCGGAATGTCGTAAACTCCAACAATTTCAACCAAGACACCCGCAAATCTTACGAAGAGGAATGAATATTAATTACACAGATACACGTATAATAGAACTTCTTAGTGTTAACAGCAAACAATAACACCCCATGTTTCTTCAGTGATCGGTGACTGATTGAAGTAAGCCTGTTTTTTAATGTAGAACAAAGTAATTATGATATAATTTCTAAGATTGACAGCTTGCATTCCATATTTTCGGATAGGGCTGTTTTCGGGCTGTGTAAGATAGTTGATCAAAGTTTCATCACTGCTTGTCTTTGTAGTGTCATCGTGGGCCCAACAGTACAATACTGACATTTCTATATAAAAAGAGGAAAGTTGAAAAATATATTTTCTCAGAAAGTAAGTAAAGAAAGCACTTGTTTCTTATTTTTCATGTTGCCAAAATATTAACAGCATTTTCTTCGGTTCATAGCACACAAAATATGGTATTTGATCTCTTTGGATATCTTATTTCATGTCGGCTTGATAATTTACTTCAAATCAGCGAGTGGGGCGTCCATGGTCGAGTGATTAGGTTCGTCGACATGAAACCAATTGCCTCTCAACAATGTGGGTTCGAATCCTACCACTGTGGGTTTGAATCCCGAAAGGGAATTTTAAAACTGTCATGTGAAGAAGCTTTCTGACTATCTCACGGAACGTCGTTGATTCTACTCAGTTGCCCGATTTTGCCGAAGGGATCCCGAGGTCTTCCCCTAACAGTAAAGCTGGAGCATAGCCCCGTATGACCAGATGTCGATGTTTTTCTTTTAAGATTGATAAACACAATTCTTGACCACTTTACCATATGATATGATATGGAGTGATATGGAGAGTAAACATGGCAAACACCAGCGATGTCTCTTTCGGAGGTATAGCTCTATCGCTACATCCTCTTCCGAGCAAGTAGATGTCGCTACTTTTAAGTGTTAATAAACTTTAAGGTAAAGAGTTGTTATAATTTTATTTTGGATGAAGATTTGATTCAAGTTTCCAGGAAACGTAAGGTTGGTGAATTTATGTTTGACCTATAATTGTGGTGGCGTTTTCAAGTAATCGAATTTAGCGTTGAAATTATCTGTTTCATCACGAAAGAAATGTTATTGTCGCATAATTTCGAAGTAAAGATTTTTTTGCCGTATTTTCTTCTTACACTACGTGGTCAGAAGACTAAACTTACTGTACGTCATGCGAAAAACATATGTACAGTTAAATATGTAGTAGAATCTGCTGACATGTTAAACTGCCGACCAGTTCAACTTATATTGAAAATTGCTGACCACTTATTTTAGATATACATGAGAAAATAATGTCTAGACGTAAATTTGTTTTTTTACAATGTAAGTCAATATATAAAATTTAACATCTTCAATATATAAATTGTACATCTTACAAAACAATAAAACCTCTGATGACCAATTAAAATATAATAGAAATTAATCAAGTGAGTTTAGCAGTATTTGTTTAGTGAACAATGTTGACCAGTTAGATTTATCTCAATGAACTATGTTTGGACTTAAAGATAATACTTCATGGTAGTGAAACATGTTTTTCGTATTTTCACTTGTGTCTTGCCGGGCTACTTTCTTCTAAATTCAGCCAATATACACAATTTTAGGGCAAGTCTTTCAAATTGTTATGTCAAAAAGAGAAACATGTATCAAATAATACCGCAACTCATGAAATATGTTTCATACCAATCGATAAAAATAAATCCTGTTTTATGGGGGAAAACTTGAATATCCTCTATGGTCTACTGACCATTAAATATTTTTTTTATCTTTTAAATGTCAACATAATATCATTTTGTCATCTGAAATGTTTCAACTTTTTAAAAAGTTTTACACAATTTATTACATTTCCATGTATGTTATATATAACTCTTTAAGTATTTCCCCTATCTTTTGATATAAAATGTTACTTTTTATTAATTTATTTTTTCATGTAGACGTTTTTAGTATACAAAATAGAAAAAGACACGAGAAAGAAGAAAGAAATCTGTTGACAAAAGTAAAATTATTTTTCCATACTTTATCATATAAAATACTATATAATCCAGAGGGCGACAATGCGTTAGTGCGATGACGACAATACGACAGTGCGATGACGACAATGCAATAGTGCAATGGTGACAGTACAATAAAGCGATGGTGACAACGCGATAGTACTATCACTATCGTATTGTCGCCATCGCACTGTCGTCATGGCGTTATCGCACTGTTGTCATCGTACCATCGCCATGTCACATTATCGTACTGTCGTCATCGCGTTATTGCTCTGTCGCCATCGCACTGTCGCATTATCGCCCTCTGGATTATAAAGTATAACAACGATGGCCCTCGCAGCATTCCGTAGTTTTAAACTGTATTGTGAAGAAATAAGTAACGTAAATACACGTACAATGAAATGAAATAAAAAAGAATACTACTTCTCAAAATTTTATTTTACACAGCTAAACTAATAAAATGACTTTGTACGAGCTATAATGTTTTTAAATTTCCCTGTTTACAGTAACATTGTTTTACAATACAAATAAATATAATATAATTTTTTTTACTATTTGCAATGACACTTTATTGTCAAAGTGTTACTGAAACAAAGAAGATACTTCAGTTTGTGGGATACAACACTGATACATTCTGCAACTGAATAGATAAAACAAGGATAATAAAATATGTGTGATGCTTGCACTCGATAAAATGATGGCTGAAACTCTCAATAAAAACATGTGTAATACTTGTACTCGATAAATGCATATATGATACTTTCACTCATTACAAATAATTATGTGTAATTCATGCCATCAATAAAAACACGTGTAACACTTGCTCTCAATGAAACACGCGTGGTTCTAGCAGTCAATAAAAATATGCGTGATACATGCATTTAATAAATACATGTTTGATACTTGCACTCAATTAAAACACGTGTAATATACTTGCTCTCAATGAAACACGCGTAGTTTGCGTGATTATTGCACTCATTATCAGATGTTTAATACATGTATTCAATAAATATCTGTATGATACTTGCACTCAATAAAAACATGTGTGATACTTGCACTTTATAAAAAACGTAAATTTTTAGGATGGTAAAGTTTACGGTACATATGTGTTAGTGAATTAAAACAAAAGTTTTGCGTAAGAATTATTTTAGAGAAATACTGTTTGTAATATGTTCATGAGTAACGTTTTACAATTACTGATGTATTTTTCTTTCAATTTTCCGACAGGGATGCGTTCATGAGTGACGTAGCTACGAATGAAAACATAATAACTGATATGCGCAAGTGCAATGTTATGTGAGCTGAAATGTCAAGCATAAACAATTTTTTTCACTCATTTTTAATTATATCAAATATTTTCTTTGCTACTTTTCCCCGGATATCGTGAAACATTTTCTTTGATGGTGTCATTAAATCCTCAAGTCGCAAAATATATTTCTATCAGATTTTCTTAAACTTATAAATATTAGTGCCTTCGTCATTATGTTCTAGTTTTTCTGCCGTCGCAATGCCACAGAGAAAAAACCTGGCGAACGACATTACATGATTATGGCACCAGATGTTTATTTATGATAATTTTAAAATAAGTAGTGTGAAAGATAACGCATGTAATAACTTAGTTCAAATAAAAAAGTGTTAATAATGATAAAAGACTTGATAACATGTTTCTGCTAGTTAATTGTTATAGCTAGTATAGAAGTGACTGTAGTTAAACGAATACAACATGGGCCACTTAAAATCTTGGTTTTGCACGAAAGTCATACTATTTTTATATATAAAGTATAGGCTGATAAGGTCCTTAGAATATTAAAAATTCAAGTATTGAATGAGTCACGTGTTCCTTGCCGCGTTAACGACATTGTTTTAAAAACACTTAAACAACCAAATGTAATTATTACTGTTTTCTATGTTTAAGTGGAGAAGTTGTCAGTAAAATAGCAGACAAACAGACTGGAACTGGTATAAAATAAATCAGAAAATGTTTATGGTAAGCAGTGGTTAGGTAACAGTGAAACTTTTGTGAAGCAAAGAAGCGAGGAAGATAATAAGTGTTAAAAAATCTTGTATCCAGGGAAAAAGTTTGAACAATTTTCCATAAACAATGTAGTCCCTTCAACATGTAAAATCATTTTTGGATACATGGATTTTTTACCAAGTTTGCATGAACGTATTAATGGAGCTTTAAAACTTTAATATTGTTTGTCTCTCCTGATAAGATTAAATGCACATTTATTACTGTCAAACCGTATCGAACGATAATTAATTATCTTCAACATGAACAACGCCCATAACATTTTTTGCCGTCAGGAACTTATCTGTAGTATAGTCGACGTTTGTTCTTCATCTCCATCTACATTAATGATATTTTTACATAATACGAAATATAAATCCATGATCAATCTACACATATCTGATTTGGGTAAATATCAGAACTGATCAATATCAGGTATATCTAACGTGAATAAATGGTTACCGGAGCTGTCAATAGTAGTCAGCTTACATGTATTACTTCTGTTCAAGATATATATCATACTACCGTCATTACTCACTGCGATGTCAGTATATGAGTACATGTACTCATTGTCTTCTGGTGTGTAAAGCTGTTTTATATATTCACCATCAGTTGAATAAACATGTACGGAATACAAGTGTGCAACATATAGTTTTTCACTATGACAGGTTAATGAAATACATGCATGGCTTGTGCTGACTGATCTGATCCATGACATATCTCCTGTTACATCAACAAAGTACAGCGTGAATATATAATAACCTGATACTACAGCAATATTATTACCAATGTGACACACATTGTATAGATAGCGGACATTATATATTGATAAGGTACTGATAACATTATATTGTTTGTTCACTTTTATAAGCTTACTGTTGTTCCTGTCAGCTAATAAAATATCTCCTGTAGGTAAAACTGATACATCGTTAATATCACAATCATCCTCGAGTGTATCGTGCTCAATCTTATAGTTCCGAACACTTATTACACTCCTTAATCTCTGCTCATCAACATTTGTATCATCACGTGCGGTATTTCCTTCATGTAATATCTTTGAACTGTAAAATAAAAGCTTCAACAATATAGAAAAAATACCTAAACATTTCACTAAAAAGTACAGTATTTAATTTTCAAAAATCATTAAATAACATTTTCTTGGATATCCATGTACATGTATAGTGAAATTTGACTCTTGACGACATTCAAAATGCCACGTTTAATGCAATTAAACGGTTTTATTTAAAAATAGGTGTTTATGACATACCTGTGGTATTTTGATGAATTAAAACACTTTTTTTATTTAAAAACTTTTCGCGATATTGTGTTTTTCAACTTTAGACTTGTGACAATTACATTAAATTTGGGAAATTGATATATGTATACCACTCTTATCATGAAAGAATGAGAAGAAAGTGACCGGTCTTAAAATAATCAATTAACGTGAACGTGCGGAAGTTTCATGTACATTTTTATAATTGAAATTATTGGTTACTTTGTTCAAAAGTGAAAAGTCCGATACACAAATGTAGAACATTTTTTCAAGATTTAATGTTTATCAAGACTCCCCGGAAAATATCGGAAGTTAGGGATGTCAAGTAAATGAAGTATGGGATGTTAACGTTTGCGGAATTTTAGCAAATGGACTGTTTGCAAATATTGATTATAATTAAAGACTAAGAAAAATTTAAAAATGAAAAATAGATTGCCGTGCACCATTCCCCTACTACTTTTTGGATAAATTGATGTTTTACTTTTAAAAGCTTAAATAATACCATTACCTTGTGCCACCAGACTTTACATCAAAATCAATTCTACCTGTAATACAAACATAAAATTACACTTAAAAATCCGTGACATTATAAATCAACATGCATTCAAAAAATGTTCTGAGTCAAATGTATGTAACCAAGCCTATGGCACATTCTTTTCACAGATATAACATTTTAATTGTAGCAAATATATTGTATGATACATGCAATAATATATCGCATTATACAATCAATAATGAGGATACAACTTGCGTCGTATATCGCTTTATACAATCAATAATGAGGATACAACTTGCGTCGTATATCGCTTTATACAATCAAAAATGATGATACAATTTCTCTCATTTATCGCATGAAACATGCATAGTGGGGATAAAAATTCTGTCATTTATCGCATGCTACATGCATACCGAGGATACAACTTGTGTCATATATCGCATGACAATGCAATAATGAGGATACAACTTATGTCATAT